ACCACACCGGGACTCTGGCTGGCTCAGCAAGCCCTGGGAGTGGGGGCCAGCATGGCATGTGGTGCCAGGAATCGAAACCTGGTCCCTGGACTTGCCCAAGCAGGCGCTTTAGTCCACTGAGCTATGTCACTGGCCCCCAAAAATCTATTCTTTAAAAGTAATTACCTAAAGAATATGTTGTTAAAGAGTAAATAAAGGGGCTGGGGAGATGGCTCAATAGAATAAGCGCTTGCCTGGCAAGTGCGAGGGACTGAGCTCAATCCCCAGTTCCGCCAAAATAAAACAAGAATATTTAAAAATCAAAAAACCAAATACGTCAACATTCATGCCAAAGCTACTTCAACTCTTTCAAGTTCCAAAAATAATCACTGGACTGGGGCTGGAGAGATGGCTCAGTGGTCTAAAGCACCTACTTGAAACAAGCTTGTCAAAGCACAGGGACTGCGGTTGATCCCCCAGCACCACATGCCAGCCAGCCCCGCCCCCTGGTGGGCTGAGCTGGCCACACACACACACAATAAATAAATGTAATAAATAAGTAATTTAAAAAAAAAATTATAAAAAAAAATAATAATCACTGGACTATCTACACAAATCAATTTATCATGTAAACAACCTTATTAACTTTCTCTTGGTATTGGGCATTGAACCCTGGACCTTGCTTATACTTCACAGGTACTCAACCACTGAGCTACATCTCCAGCCTTTTCTAAATTTTGAGACAGGTTCTCTTTTAACTTGCCCAGTCTGGCCACCAACTTGACTCCTCTTGCCTCAGCCTCCCAAGTAGCTGTGGTTATAGGCATGCACCACTACAACCAACCAATACAAAGTTTAATAGGAAAAAAATACAGTAAGATTTATGAATAAATTATGCCACCTTATAATCTAAATTTACGAAGGTTTAATTCTGCAACTTTGTTGACTTTATAAAGCACTATATACTGACAACTAAAAATGTAAAGAATACCCTTATACAAATCTAAGCTTAGACTTGAATTACATAATATCACAAATCTAACCGTACTTCATGAATGACAAAAGATTGTGTCCCATTTTCTACTACATCACTACCAATTGCTTAGCATGGAATAGGCACATGACAGGCATTTCAGTATTTCCCACCAAAGACCCAATAATTAAGACAGTAAAAAAATAATCTTCAGGGAATATTAATTAGCAGACAGAACATAAGGCAAGAGAGTGGGTAGAAATCATTAAATAAAAAAATACCAATGGCAAGGAGGGAGAAAAGATTCTCTAGAGAGATTCACCCACTAGAAATTTCTTAGAACAAAAGTTGTAGTTGTTCCACATAGAGCTACTCAATTAAATGACCACACTGGTCCTTACCTAAATTTTCTCTGTGTACTTCCAGTAAAAAGCCATCATGAAAATCTGGCTCACAGGCACATGGAACAGGTTTAGAACGAAAACGCTGGTTCCGATAATGTAAACATAAAGTAAAAGTTGAACAAATTTGTCCTGGTAAAGGCTCAGGCTCTTGAAGATGTTCCAAGAAAGCTTTTCCACCCAAAACCTGAAGGTAAAGATACCTCCGTGTTGGATCAATATTAGCTGTAAAGTGTAGCAATATACGTGAGGAAGCAGCCAAATAACTTCACAAATACGATCAACACATTAGGAAATAATAGTTTGATATAAATAAAAGCAAAGACTTAAAAAAAGAAATTAACAAATTTACTACATAGCAAGATTTTTTTGCTCTGGAAAGAAAAGCTACACAGTAAGATATTCTGAGCTTATATCCTGGCTACTTTCTCTCAGCCAAAAGGGAGTCAGAACACCAAGGTCTAATGTGTATTTGCTTTCTGGCTGCTTATAAAACATTCCTTAATTTCAAAAGGACAAGTCACACAATTACTACCAATACATATCAGATAATTATGTTACCATTAAAAAAGCAAAGCTGTACAGTTTCTATAATATACCTTAAGGCCAGTGATCCTTTTTGTGTCTATTGTACTGTTAAGTTTTTCTTACATACTTCATACAAAATAGAATCTAAGTTTTAAGTTAATCACACACACAAAAAGGAAGGACTTCATTTTAGAAAACAGAAGTTAAAATGTTTTCATCAAATACTATAAACTGCAACTCATCAATATCCATTAATAACCACAACTAAACATTAAAAAATATATACAAGGGCCTGCGAGATAGCTCAGTGGACTAAGCACCTGCTCAGGAAAGCGCAGGGAGCAGGCTTAGATCCTCACCACCACAGGTCACGCCAGCCCTGCCCCCAGGGTGCACTGAGCCACCCACAGATTAGGTGTGGTAGCCCAGGCCTGTAATCCCACTTGCTGGGGAAGCTAAAAGCAGGAAGACCACTACGAGTCCAAGCTGCGGAGTGAGACCCTGTACCAACTACATAAAAAAAAAAAAAAACATACAAAATAAAAATACATACTTTTTTTTAATGTTGACTGTTTATCAAAACTAGCAGGCTGTTTTGGAGAGGCCGAGAGTTCTTGCTCAACACTGTCCTAGAAAGGCAGTAACAAAAAGAAAAAGAAAAAACAATTACAGGTAGATTTTAAATACCACTGGAACTAAGCACTGTTTTCAAGCCTTCTACCAACAGAATACTCAAATTTTTAATGCTTTAAATAAAATTAAACTTTCTCTAAATCTTATGGAAAACTGAGACTAAGATTGCACCACGAACTGACTTTAATAAGTGACATTCAAGCAGCAAAGATTGTTATTAGGTCAATTTTTATAATGAAATAGGTTGCAAAGCTTCAGAGGCCAAGAGAACCCTGTATGCAAAGACGCAATTCCCTAACGTGCTGAAGCCAGCCCTATTTTTACCTGACATCAGGTATTGAGGTCACAGTTTCATTATTGCCTCATTTCAAAAGAGGACCTACTTACTGTGCTGGGCAGCTCTTTCCACCACTGACCTAGATGTATGAAAAGATGTGGGGACTCTTAAGCACCCTATTACCTTCTTAAAGAACTTCATAAATATAATTTAGAAAAAATGCTTAAGGTTAGAAAAACTTACAGACAGTCTCTGGAAAAGGTTTCGCTAAATAGGCAATCTGGCTGAGGGGCACACACCTAGCACTGCCACCCTCGCTGGGTGTGGCGATGTACATTTATAATCCCGCCCTCGCTGGGTGTGGCGACACACACCTATGACCCTATACTCAGGAGACTAGGTGGGAATACCTAGGTGAGTCTGAGGCCAGCCTGGACAGCACTGAGTTCAAAGGCAGTCCGAACTACCCAGCGAGACTGTCTCAGAAGACCAAACACTTGGGCCGGGAAGGCAGCTTGGCGGCATATGCCCGGCAAGTGTAAGGTCCTGAGTTTGATCCCCACTACTCCATCCCCCACCCCCCCAAAAAATCAAAAGACAAAAAGTGTAATAAGTAAAATTGCACTCCTAGAGTATAACAAAGAGAAAATTCTGTCACTGCGGAGACAGAAATACATTATTTAAGTCAAATTTCAATGACATACCATGCGAATTTCCATACTCAAGACATAGCTAACCTAAAACAAGGCCATTACTAGACAGAATGGCTCTTTTCGTAATAGAGTAACACCAAATACAAACCTTACAAACAGCATTCGCAAGCGAATACTGACTCCGACTTTCCCCTAAAGATTACTCACAGTAACAAAATTAAGTTCCTTCATCACATCGTCAATGATTCCTCGACGCCGAAGAGCTTTGATCAGATCTTCTGTGGACAGGTGTTGTTGATCTGGCGCCAGCTCCTCCCGTATGGTCTCTGCCAGGATTTCCCTTATTCTGCCATGGACATCCATCTAGTACAAAAGTCCCGTTACAATGCACAACGTGCCAAAGCAGTCAGCGCTGCTCACGTTGTGGGCTTCTACTCAGAACAGTAGTCGTCACCATCACTAAGTGAGGTCAACTTTCAAAAGATAAAACGTTTGGGTAAAAATTCTAGAAATACTTTCTCCTGGTTACCCACCACTCCTGCTGTCCTCCGCCCCAACACTCGCTCAAAGCCCAGCTCTGGGGTGCGGACCAGCAGGATCCCGAGCAGAGCCGGGTAGCGGCGCAGGTCTGCGGGTCTAACGTGCTTAGGACTGGGTCTCCTCGCCCGGAGACCGGGGGCGAGACGCAGCAAGCGCTGGACAAAGCCCGGCCGGAGCGACGAGCGCGCGGGTGGGCAGCGGGGCCCGCCTCCACCGCTTCCCGCGGCCCTGCAGCGTTCACACACCCCGGCGCCGAGCCCCGCCCCGGCTCCCGGCTCCCAGCTCCCCGCTCCCCCAGCCCCGCGGCTCCCGGCTCCCCGCTCCCCCAGCCCCGC